AGGCGTACGTCACCGACGGGAGGAGGAGGGGGAGGAGGAGGAGGAGGAGGAAGAGGAGAAGGAGAAGGAGGAGGAGGAGGAGGAGGTGGAAATGGGAGAAGGAGGGAGGTGGAGGAAGAGGATGGGAGAGAATAGGGAGGAGCTTCTCTGTTTCATAGACATAACTCGTGTTACCTAGGGGAAAAATGGAGCAATTGCAGGGGGTGACAAATACGGTGGCTGCGGTGTGCTAATGCCACAGAGTGCCGGACACCGATGCCTGCAAGCAGGACACTCTGCAGAGTCGTAGTGCGCCAGACCGTGGCAGAAACACAACTGCCTTGAGGACAACAGGATGCCTGCGAGCGCCAGCAATAAGCAACACACTAGCCCGCGAGCACCGTAATACGCCTGTAAACAGCACGGCGTGCTTGCGAGCACCACCGTGCGCCTGTGACCACCGCATGTGAGTGGCGCAACGTGTTTGTAATCAACAGACGGCGAAGACATCAACTCCGAGCCCAGGCACATCGCAGACGCACGGCTGCACGCATCATGCCATCATGCACTTGCGAAGGTGTACACCACGTGCACGGGAACCTACGCAAACCACCACAAGCCTGCGTTCACCACCAAAAGGAACCATGAGTAAATCTCCTGTCTAATCGCAGGCCCGTGTCACCACTGTGCGAGAGCTTGGGTAAGCAAGCGCGCTGCCATCAGGCCTCTTACAGTTATGATGTTCCAGAAAATGAACAACTGAGCTGTGCTGCTCCCTCCATCTCTACCTCCTCGCTCCATCCACCTTTCCCCTCCTCCTAAGCTCCTCCTCCTCATCCGATGGGCCTCGCATTAGCGCGCGAGCACCGCAACATGCCTGCGAGCATCACCGTGCGACTGCGACCACCAAATGGCGAGGATAATCGAACCGTGCCAGTTACGCAGAGCATGCCAGCGGAACACGTACATACATCAGCATACCAGCCCCTACCAGCACCGCAACTGCTTGTGAGCACCACGATAGGTATGCGAGCTCAAGCAACCACATGCGACGCTGTAGGGAGTCCTTCTAGGAGCCAGTGGGAGATGCGAGGAGCCGTAGTAAGACTACACAAACATATAACTATATAAACATACACCTAAGAATACATACACAGATAAATAAATAGAAATTCAACTTGGACCATCTGATATATAATGTGCGCACGTAGGACCCTGCAACCGCAGATAGAGTGAGAGTGCGGCGGGGTCGTCGGCAGTCTGCGAAGCTCCAAAGAAGCCTGCAGCAGGCTCCGAAATTTGAAAAGAGAAAACAGAACAACAACAACAACAACAACAACAACAACAACAACAACAACAACAATCACTTTACCCGAACGCTCAGTGTTCTCACCAGTGCCAGGGTTTTCATGCGACGCCAGCCAATACCCCCACTTTGTGGGGGGGCAGTGCAAGCTCTACCAATTATCCCCACGACTCTTCGCCACCACCCACACCCAGCTTCCCGCCCTATGACGTTCGGACACTTCACTTCGTGGCCTGCGGACGACCGTGGCTACTACACTGGCGTGGAGTACACACCCACAGGAGTTGTTAAGCCTACCCGTTTCCCCGGGGGGGGGGGGGGTACAACCCACAGAAGTTGTTAAGCCTGTACACACCCACAGAGTTGTTAAGCCTACGTCAGAACATTCTGTTGCATATGTGCATATGTTACATTATACACATGGTACGTGAAAAAACGAAAGTGTCCCGCATGGTATTATTTTACAGGGATGATGGCCCTGGCAGGTGCGCAACCGTTGTCGCAGAAGTTCGAAAAAGTTGCTCGCAAAAGCCCGTTTGACAGAAATGTTTAACAAGTGTTGGGTTTCCTACGAATCCGCAAGAGCGCGCGGGATGAGATTTTGACAATTTTTTGTTGAAAAACCAGTGGTTTTTTGATGTTTTTATGTTAAAATCGCTGCGAACACTAAGGTTTTGGAAGGATTTCGTCTTGCGCGCGCGAATGTCCACTTTACCTTATTTTTGCAAGGGATTCTTGAAATTTGATTATATTAGAACAAGAAATGTCATTTTATAGTGTTTTTTGCAAGGGAAAGCGGGGGGGAACAAAACAACCGGATCTTGATCACATCGAATAACCTGAGGCTTCCTCACGAAAATGATGAAAATGTAGCTGCGGCCTAGGCGGCGCAGGGGGGCCGTGCACCAGGGGCCCCAACAATAATTATTCTTTAGAATTAATAATGTTCAACAACAAACAAAAAAAACGAGCCCGCAGGAGGCGACGAATTTTTCGTCAAGGCAACGCGGGTGGGTCGCGGCTGGATCGCGGGTGGGTCGCAGGGTGGGTCGCGAGGTGGGTCGCGGGGTGGTCGCGGGGTGGGCCGCGGGTGTGTCACGGGCGGGTCGCGGACGAGGACGACGACAACAACGCAACGCAACAACAAACCGCACCGCGGAACCCCATTTCAGACACGCACCCAGGGACAGTGCATGACCGTCGACCCCCTCACTCTGATATACACTTACAGATCGTTAGGAGATAACACGTCTCTGCTCAGAAACTGGGCCTGCGGGCTGCTCTGGCCGCCATGGTGTCGCCGTCGCCGCCTCGTCGCCGCCCGTCGCCTGGACCTGTGGGCCGCTCTGGCCGCCATCCCGCCGCCGTCGTCGAGGCCCGTCGCAGCCCGTCGCAGCCCGTCGCCTGGGCCTACGGACCGCCGTGGCCGCCGTGTGGCCGCCGTCGCCGCCTCGTTGCCGCCCGCCGCCTGGGCCTGCGGGCCGCTCTGGCCGCCATGTCGCCGCCGCGACGCCGCCCGTCGTCGCCCGTCGCCTGGGCCTACGGGCCGCTCTGGCTGGGGCTGCAGACCGCTCTGGCCGCCATGTGGCCGCCGCCGCCTCGTCGCCACCATCGCCGCCTCAACGGCGCCCCGGTTTGCGTTGCCGGAGGTTGAGGGGTGAGATCGCAGTGGGACGGAGACCCCCAAACGGGAAATCGCTTCGTTTCGTGCGTGTCGTGCGCGCGGGCGAGGCGAAGCTGCGTGGGCGCGCGAGAGGACTGAACCCGCCGTTGCTAGGGCGAAGTCAAGACAAATGATTATCCTCCGTCAGGCGGTGGCCCTCGGTGTTCCGCGGTGTCCTGTGGTGTCCCGTGGTGGAATGAACGACGCCGTTGCCGGGGCGAAGTCACGACAAATGATTCTCCTCCGTCCGGCGGTGGCCCTCGGTGTCCCGCAGTGTCCCGTGGTGTCCCGTGGTGTCCGCCGTTGCCAGGGCGAAGTTGATTCTCCTCCGTCCGGCGGTGGCTCGCGGTGTCCCGCGGTGTCCCGTGGTGTCCCGCGGTGTCCCGTGGTGTCCGCCGTTGCTAGAGCGAAATCAAGACAAATGATTCTCCCCCGCCCGTTCGGCGGTGGCCCTCGGTGCCCCGCGGTGTCCCGTGGTGTCCCGATAGTGATATCGATACTGAGATCGATACTGAGATCGATGTGGTGCCCCGAGATGCCCCATGGTGTCCCGTGATGTCCCAAACCAAAAAGTGAAATCGATAATGAGATCGATAGTGAGATCAACGTGTCCCGTGGTGTCCCAGGGTGTCCCAGGGTGTCCCGGTGAGTTAGATCGATAGTGAGATCGATAATGAGATCGATACTGAGATCGATTTGGTGCCCCATAGGTGTCCCGTGGTGTCCCGTGGTGTCCCAAAAAGTGAGATCGATAGTGAAATCAATAGTGAGATCGACAGGTGTCCCGTAGTGTCCCATGGTGTCCCGTGGTGTCCCGTTGAGCGAGATCGATAGTGAGATCGATAACAAGAAAAATAAAGAAAGTGAGACTGGTAGTGAGATCGAAAAGAAAATGGATAACAGAGCGACTCAAAAAAAAAAGCAGAACAGAAACAAAGAAAAAAAAAAAATAAAAACAACAACGAAAAAGAAAAAAAAAAAAAAAATAGAAAAGAAAAGAATAAAAAAGAGAAAGGAAAAAAAGAAAAAGAGACAGAAAAAAGAAAAAAAGAAAAAAAAAGGGAAAATAAAAAAAGAAAAAAGAGGTAGAAAAAAAAGGTGTCCCGCGGTGTCCCGTGGTGTCCCGTGGTGGCCCGTGGTGTCCCGTGGTGTCCCGTTGAGTGAGATCGATAGTGAGATTGATCGTGAGATCGACAAATGTCTCGTGGTGTCCCGTGGTGTCCCGTTGAGTGAGATCGATAGTGAGATCGATTGAGTCAGATGTTGGTTCCCCCCCTCTCCCCCCCCACACAACCTCCTTCTCACCAGAAGGGTGTTCGTATAGGTATTGGTTTTGTATGTTTGTGCACTGATTTGCATTGCGTCGCATTGCTTTGCATTGCTTCGCATTGCTTTGCATTAACTTGCATTGCATCGCATTGCGTTGCATTGCTTTGACATGGTCTGCATTCATTTGCACTGTTTTGCATTGCTTTGTATTGCGTTGCATCGCTTTACGCTGTTTTTCGTGACGTTGCAGTACACTGCGTTGCTACGCATTGCTTTGCATTGCTTTGCGTTGCTTCGCATTCATGTGCTTCATTGCGTTACAACCGCACTACTTTGCACTCGAATTGAACCGCACTGCCTCACATGGCTTTGCATCGCCATGTCATGCGTTGCATTGCAGTTGATTGTTTCGCATTGCTTTGCATTGCTTTACATTGCTTGGCATGGCGTTGCACTTCTGTGCAGAACTTTTCATTGACTTGTATGTATGTGCGTTGTGTGCGCGTCATTACTTTACATTGCGTTTCACCGGTATGCGTTAAGTTGCATTGCGGTGGAATTGCTGCGCATTGCTTTGCGAAGCCTTGCGCTACGTTGTTTTGCTTTCACATGTTCTGAATCGCTGTGCATTGCTTTGCATTGCTTAACGTCGTGCCGCATCACTTTACATCGGTTCTCATTGCTTTGCATTGCTTCTTCTCGCCGCATAGATTGCAGCACCTGGATGCCACCACATTGCTCGCACCACCTAGGTTGCAATGCATAGGCTGCAAGATCACAGTTTTTTCCGCACGGTCGGGGGAAATCCGAAGTGTGTGCAGTCGGGCGGCCAGTCGAGGACCGCCCGACCCACTCCGCAAGGTTTGCTTATGTATGTGCGAGAAAACCACCTGCTTCCCAACTGATGAGAGGCCGTCCCTTGAGGCAGCTGCTGACGGGCCAGTTCGCAAAATGACGCGCTTGCGCCTGCGGGCGCGGCTTCGCGCGCCCCGCAGAGTCGAGGCAAGAGCGCCCGACCCTCCATTGCCTCCCGGCCGTGGGCAGGGGGGTCAAACAGCCAAAGTCAGCGGAGAGGGGGAGGCGGACGAGCAGCCATCGTTCGGAAGAGCAGGAGGAGGTGGAAACCAATACACGCTCTGTGGGCCTGCTGCCTCGTGCAGCCGGGGGAGGCCCCATTCACGCTCGGGGGGCGCCCGAGCCGAGCTGGGAGAGTGGTGACGAGGACGCCTGTGGCCCAACGCCCCCACTGCACTGGCTCCGCAAACAGGAGGAGGCAAGAACGTATACAATCACGTCTTCGATGTTGGAGGGCTGCTCTACATCTTCACATCGAAGATTGGGACAACCATGCCTTTCTCAGCTTCAGTGCGGACCGCGCCGAAGTCGAACGTCTTCGTCACTTTACCATTGCAGAACACCTCCACGAGCAGGTCATCTTCCTCCGCGCCCTGCCCATCAGTCAGCGTAGTGATCTTGCCATTCTGACGGACTAGCTTCAGCCTGCCCTGTTTGGACTTCTTCCCCTGATCGGTTACGGGATCCTTGTACACCGGGCGTGGCTTGCCATCGACGATGATCTCGCAGCACTTGAACGCGCACTTCTGCGTGTCGCGGTCCATCTTCTGGAGCAGAGCGCCGCCAGAGCCAAAGCAGACGTTTGTGGCCGCCCATTTGTGCTTTGTCATGTTCTCCAGGATATCACGCAAGGACTCAATTGAGATACCGTCGCCCTGGATGACGCGAATGTAAGGCGGCAGCTCCTTGAAGCCTGCGGCATTCTTTGTAGGGGGGAAGTTTTTGGCAAGCCTGTCGAGGACTTCCACCACGATTTTCTTCGGATCACCAGAATCAGGGCGGACAACGAGCTTGCCTGGAGGTGCCTTGCGGCTCGCCACAATGTCCTTGAGTTCTTTGCCCCAGAGCTTCTCGCAAGCATCGTAGATGTTGTATGAATCCGAGACCACAGCGACGATGCCCTCCGGGTACTGCGTCAACATATTCTTGAAAGCATCCTTCTCGCCATCCCGCCCCCAACTGGTGATCGTCGAGTGCTCAGCCGCTGGAACAGAAGTCCCGATGCATGCTGCTAATGGTTGCTTGTAGTAGTCGATTGCCATGCAGAGACCTGGCATTGTGTCACTGCCTGCAAAATTTACTAAGTGCCCCGCGCCACCGATCGCAGCCGTTTCCATGGAGGAGACACCTCGGCAGCCGAAGTCGTTGAGCTGGTAACCAACGCTGATCAGCTTTAGCGGTGCCGGTAACTCGTTGGGCATATTCTTGAGATCCGTTCCAGTTTTGAGCAGGTAATCAATAATGATCTTCTTCTGTTCTCGAGACTGCGTTGCTACAGTCATGGGGTACCAAACCTGAACTAGCAAGGTCTCCAAGTAATTCGTCAGCCAGAAGCATTTCGGATCTGTGTTTACCACGGTCATCAACACATTCTTGACTGGTACGACCATACCTTCGGGGGCCGCTTTGATCTTGATTGGCAAACGGCCACCATGGTTGTTCAAAA